CTTCATCAGCACCCCACCTCCTCCAGACACGGATGCAAAAGGCTCCTTCATCAGCACCCAACCTTCTCTAGACATGGATGGAAAAGGCTCCTTCATCAGCACCCCACCTTCTCTAGACATGGATGGAAAAGGCTCCTTCATCAGCACCCCACCTTCTCTAAACATGGAAAAGCCTCCTTCATCAGCACCCCAACTCCTCCAGACACAGATGGAAAAGGCTCCTTCATCAGCACCCCAATTCCTCCAGACATGGATGGAAAAGGCTCTTTCATCAGCACCCCACCTCCTCTAGACACGGATGGAAAAGCCTCTTTCATCAGCACCTCACCTTCTCTAGACACGGATGGAAAAGGCTCCTACATCAGCACCTCACTTCCTCCAGACACGGATGGAAAAGGCTCCTTCATCAGCACCCCAACTTCCCCAGACACGGATGGGAAAGGCTCCTATATCAGCACTCCAACTCCTCCAGACACGGATGGGAAAGGCTCCTATATCAGCAACCAGTGCCCGGTAAGCATTTCTTCCTGGCACTGACCACACACCCTGCCAGGCAGCTCTCAGGCACCTCTGACTGGTAGTGAGGACATAACTTAGCTGCCCCCTACTGCTCCGCCTGGAAGGTATGATCTGATTACTGGCACAGGGAGGTAAGGTCCCCTTAACGGCTGCTGGTCTCTGCCCCTCTGCATTTGGACACTATCTTAACTGAAACTTCCAGGTCCCTAACCCAACACAACTGCCTGGGCCCCTGAGTCAGCAACGCCCCTCACACACCCAAGGCCATGCTCACACAGGTGTGGGGGCATTGCATGCCAAGGCAAAGAAGGGTACGCACCATCCAACTCGCTCCCAGCACCTCCGCTTGCTGGCCTCGTAGGTGAGTGCAGCTTCCCACAGGTCCATGTCTGGGGTCATGCTGGGCTCAGACTGGGAATCAGGAGTCAGGTTGGATGCTGACTGGAATCCTTCGTCTTCCCACTGATCCACACTCTGTGGGACCTGGAGACACAGGGAAGAATAAGCTGCCACTCATTCCTATGTCCACATTTCATCCAAAGGCAATGAGAATTCCAGAAACTTTATCCACAAAGTTCCATTTGCTTCCTAGAGGCAAAGACCCAGCAAAACATTTCTCTGTTTTTCTCAAGTACATGTGTACCATACAATGTTTTTCCCCAAGAGCCATTTAAGGAATTGAACAAAATAATTTGTTAAGACTACAAATTTCCCATTCCATATAACACATAAGCCTCAGTGGAACTTACAATGACTTTTTGAGATGCTTTCTAAAAAGATGCTTTTGAGAAACTTTCTGACCTGGAAATTCCATTTTAGGAAACCTAGCATAAAAAAAATCACACTAAACATTAAAAAACTACTGTACACTGGCTGGGCGTGGTGGCTCACACCTGTAATCCCAGCACTTTGGGAGGCTAGGTGGGCATATCACAAGGTCAGGAGTTTGACACCAGTCTGGCCAACATAGTGAAACCCCATCTCTACCAAAAATACACGTCAGGCACGGCGGCTCACACCTGTAATCCTTGCACTTTGGAAGACCGAGGCAGGCGGATCACCTGAGGTCAGGAGTTTGAGATCAGCCTGGCCAACATGGTGAAACCCCATCTCTACTAAAAATACAAAAATTAGCCGGGCATGGTGGCATGCACCTGTGGTCCCAGCTACTCGGGAGGCTGAGGCAGGAGAATTGCTTGAACCTGGGAGGCAGAGGTTCCAGTGAGCCGAGATTGTGCCACTGCACTCCAGCCTGGGCAAAAGAGCGAGACTCCGTCTCAAAAAAAAAAATATATGTGAAATCAAAGAAAATGAAAATTTAAAAATACAAAAATTAGCCGGGTGTGGTGGCACAAGCCTGTAGTCCCAGCTACTCGGGAGGCTGAGGCAAAAGAATCACTTGAACCTGGGAGGCGGAGGTTGCAATGAGCCGAGACTACGCCATTGCACTCCAGCCTGGGCGACAGGGCAAGACTCGTCTCAAAAACAAAAAACAAAACAAAACTACTGTACACCAAGACATTTGCTGTAGCATTATGTTTATAAATAGCCGGGTATCTCATAGGAATAGAATGACTAATAACAATGTATCCTTGTAGCAATACTGATAAAGCACTAAAATACAAAACTCAGTGAGGACTTACATAATGCCATAGGAAAAAACCTCAGATTATAGACAGCAAAAGTATATCCAATTGCATATTTTATATAACATAAACAGACACTTTTGCCACATGTGAGCACTTGAAATGTGGCTTGTGGGGCTGAGGAACTGAATTTTTCATTTTAATTAAATTTAAACGGCAGCTCTACAAGGCAGAAGTGGCTTAAAGGCATGCCCTGCTAGGTAAAGGTGAAAACCAGCAGACGGGCAGCGCTGTCCTTGCAAAGGAAAGTGGCCGCCAGTAAGCCCACTCCAGCAGCCCCACCTCAGGACAACGCAGCCACCGGACTATCCTCCTTTCACCATGATAAAAGGAGGGCCATAGGGCCCGGCAGGGTGGCTAAGCTTGTAATCCCAGCACTTCGGGAGGCCGAGGCGGGTGGATCATTTGAGGTCCGGAGTTTGAGACCAGCCTGGGCAACATGGTGAAACCCCGTCTCTACTAAAAATACAAAAAATTAGCTGGGCATGGTGGTGCGTGCCTGTAATCCCAGCTACTCAGGAGGCTGAGGCAGGAGAATTGCCTGAACCCGGGAGGCGGAGGTTGCGGTGAGCCGAGATCGCGCCATTGCACTCCAGCCTGGGTAACAAGAGCGAAACTCCGTCTCAAAAAAAAAAAAAAAAAAAAAAAAAAAAAAAACCCAAAAAAAAAAAAAAAAAAAAAAAAAAAAAAAAAATTTGCTGGGCACGGTGGCGGGTGCCTGTAATTCCAGCTACTCGGGAGGCTGAGGCACGAGAATTGCTGAAGCGCAAGAGGCAGAGCTTGTGGTGAGCCAAGATCCCGCCACTGCACTCCAGCCTGGGTGAAAGAGTGAGACCCTGTCGAAGAAGAGGAAGGAAGAAGAAGAAGAAAAAATAGAACAAAGGTCACAGAAAGCATTCTCCAAACCCTGAGAGGGATGACAGAGAAAAAACAAACACTCTACCTTAATGGCCAGCCCAGAGAGGTCTGCACTGTCCGGCACGGGGGGCAGGTCCAGCCGGACATCCATGTCGTAGGCTCGGCTGTGCACAAGCGCACCGAAGAGTGAGACCCGGGTGTCTCTCTCGAACTTGTCACCACAAGGGTCACCAAATGAGAAGAGCCCGACGGTGGGCAGGCCGGTGCCTGGAGTAGCCTCCATAACCTGAAGTGTGTCCTGGATCATGCTGTGACACAAACACTCCTCTCTGGAGATCAGAGACTGAACGTCCCTCTCCAACACACTCAGGTCGTAGCAATCATAGCCGCCATATGGAACGTTTCTCCCCACGTGCTTGTTGTTAAGGAAGTAATCTCGTTTTCTCGGCAGCACTTGAGGGGGGCCGCTCCCTGCCAGCTGAACCAGGAGGTCCAAAACAGACCCCACCTCCACAAGCGGACAGCAAGGGGCTGCTTCAAGCTCCTCCACAAGCTCCTCCAAACGGTCAGCCCTGGGGCCCAGGCCACCCACTCTCAAGTCAAAGGACAACATGAGGATCTTGTTTCTCGCCGGTAGTCTTGACGTGTCGGGCTGCAGCTGAGTCTCCTCTTGAAAAAGGCTTGTGAAGAGCGCGTTGTAGGCCACCTTCTTGAGGCTCCGCTTTGCCCTCCTCCGGTTCACACTGCGCTGGCCCAGGTGGGTCTTGGCAGCCGGCAGGAGGGCCTCACACAGGTCGTCGAACAGCTGCGTGATGCTGGCCATGCCCGCCCCTCCTCAGCTCCGGGCCCCTGGCACGTGGGAAAACACCGCACCCGCTTCACCCACGCTCCGGAAGACGGCGTGAGAGAGGTCGGGAGGGGCCGAACGACAGGCGGCCTCTCCAACCACGAAGCTCAGCACGGGTCTTTTTGAAGGAGGTCTTGCGGTTTCTCGGAGTAAGCAGGCTGCCCGGCGCCCGGCAGCCCTCCGGCAGCCAGCTCGGCGTGTCTTCTCACTCAGCAGCACTCAGCCTCCAGGGAGTCACGGAACCGCGGCAAACGCGAAGAGCGGAACGTGCGCCCGGGCAGTACACAGCGGACGAACCCGGCTTCGCACGCGTTCTTCGAGGCCAGGAGAGGGTGCCACTCTGAGGCTCGCAGGCAGCGAAGAGTCTGGGAGCGCAGCCGAGCGGTCCCGGGGTCTGGCCCGCACGGGGCTTTCCGCAGGCCCGCCCGTTCTCCAGGCCTCACCCGCGGAGAGCCCCCTGCTGCCACTCCCGCCGCCTCCGTCGCGTCACAGCCGCGACTGGAGAGCGCCAGCGCGGACGCGCCGGAAATACGTCACGGGGACGCCGGCGGCCCGTCAGGGGGCGAGGCCTGCGCAGTGGCGCACTTCCGGCCTGAGTCCGGCACCCCGGGTGGAAGACTGAGGCCGAGCGTCCTCAATGACGGAGGCAGAGCCACAGTTTCGTTTGGCCGATGTTTACTGACTGCATCAGGGCTGCGGGCGAAGCGCAGCGAGGCGCAGGGGCCAGGATGGGAGCGAGGGTGGGGCGCACGGGCCGGGAGGGGCGAGGCGGGGGAGCAGGGGTGGGAGTGGGCGGGGCTCCGTGCCCCGGTGCGGCGGGAGCTGTGGGCCGGGGTCCGAGTCACCGGGTCTGAGGACGGCACTGCAACAGGAGCCGGGCAGAGGCGCGCAGCTGGCCTCCCGCGCTAGAGCTGGTTCAGGGCACTCCCCTGCCCTGCCCTGCCCTGCCCTCCCCTGCCCTGCCCTGCCCTGCCCTCCCCTGCCTTCCCCTCCCCATCGAGCTCTGCGGCAGAGCCGGGCCCCAGGGCACTGGTCACCTGCAGCATCTTCCACTGACGCTCCAGCTGCCCTCTCAGGTACCTCAGAGCCTGGGCGTCCTCTGGGGAGGCCACAGAGTAAGGGCCTAGGCTAGGAGGTGCCTCTCCATGCAGCACCCGGGCCAGGATCCCGGCTAGCTGGGGTGTGGAGTCCTGGGCCAGGGGCGAAGACAGAGGCAGTCACTGGTCCTTCCCCTCCTCCCACCCCACAGCACCTCCACCCTGCCCAGCTTACCTCCTCCAGGAGGGCCAGGACTCGGCCGCCTGCCGGCCCCCGAAGCATTGAAGTCAGGAGTGCAGCGTGGGGGCCCTGCAGGCCATGGGCAGGCCCCAGGGCCACCAACACCAGGTCAGGCTGGAAGCCATAGGCCAGGGGCAGCACCAAGCCCAAGATGCAGCTCAGGAACCCACCAGTCACCTGTGGGGACAGCAGAGCCCAGCTCCTCATCTACAGATACCCCTCCTGCTGGCTCTGGCCCCCCCACCTCCCAATCTCAGGGCCCCTGGAGTAGGAGCAGGGAGACAGGAAGGGCCAGAGGCCTGCTGTCATGACAGTGCCAGCAAGCAGCAGCTGCACACATCCAGTCTCCCCACCACCTGTCTTGCCACATGGCGTGATCACTCACCACTGGCAGTGGTGTGGAGACCTGGAACATGGATAGGGCAGCCGCCTCCTTGCCCCTGATGTTCAGCCACAAAATCCTCCTTCCAGGACACATGCATAAGCGTAAGGCCCTGCTCACCCCTCTAAGCCCAGGCAGCAAAGGCAGAGGTGGAAGAGTATTCACAGGCCACGGGCCACAGGCCACAGGCAGGGCTGCTATGACTGCCGAGCCTCTGCTGGAAACCCACCTGGCATTGCCTCCAGCAGCCCTCCAGAACCCAGATGAGGAAGGCTCCATTCAGGACCACACAGTGCCCCACCCACCCGTCACCCTGGGGCACAGGCACATGCCCATCCACATGCATGGCTGGACAGATACAAGACCTGAGAGTCCTACCCGTCATGGGCGAGATCTGGGGGCCAGTCCAGCTGTCCCAGGGCCACACACAGCAGCCTGGAGGAAGAGCTGGCCTGAGGACAGGTTGTGTTCACATTGTCTGGAGCCCATTCCCAGAGCCCTCTGCTTGGCCAGCCAGGATGGGGTGCCCACGGGTCCTGCCCTCAGAGGCTCGGGATGGCCAAGTGAGGCTTACCTCTGAGCTCCATGGGACAGGCCTCTCTGAATAGCCACATCCAAGGTGGCTGCTGCGGCCGAGGGTGGAGTGGCTACGATACCACTGCTCACCTGTGGAATGAAGAAACAGTGGAGGGTGAGGTACCAGCCGACTCCCAAGCCAGTTAGAGAGACCCACAGTTCCCTTCATTCGGTCTCTACGTGGCTGTTGTCAGCCTTTCTCTACACTCAGGTCAAATCACTCCATTTCTGTAAGACATTAAGTCTATAGATATGTAATATATGTGTATATCACTCCATTTCTGTAAATAAAATGCTGAAGTCTACATATACATGTGTGTGTGTTTATCATCCCATTTCTGCAAATAAGATGCTTAAGTCTACGTGTGTGTGTGTATCTATACGTATATATACACATTTTTTTTTTGAGACAGGGTCTTGTTCTGTAGCCACGCTGGCATGGCCTGCAGTGGCTCAATTGTAGCTCACTACAGTCTCAAACTCCTGGGCTTAAGCAGTCCTCCCGCCTCAGCCTCCTGCCTCCTAAGTACAAGTACATGACAGCACGCTTGGCTGATTTTTTTTATTTTTTGTGGAGACAGGGTCTCCGTATGTTGTCTAGGCTGGTCTTGAACTCCTGGGCTCAAGCGATCCTCCCGTCTCGGCCCCTCAAACTGCTGTCATTACAGGCACAAACCACTGCACCGTGCCTAAATCTATGCTTTAAATCAGCCCCTTCACCTCTCTGCCACAGAGCATTTAACTGAAGAAGTTGTGGTCAGACATGCTAGTGACCCCCACCCCTGGGGCTGTGCAGAGCAAGCCCCGGCACAAGACGACATTCACATCCATGTGGCTCTGCACCACCCACCCCTCCTCTGGACAGGCCACATTTCCTTGACAGGTCCTGCTGCCTGCCCCTGGGTCCACAGCACCCCCAACCCCTCCCAGGCGCCCCCACCTGCCCATCCAGCATCCCATCTAAGAGGTACAGGAGCTTTCCAAGTGCAGTGAGGGTCTCATCCTGGGCCAGGGACTCGTGTGCCCTGTAGTAGACCAGAGGGACACACAGACATGAGGCGACTGCACATCAGTCACACACAGGCACAGGTGTTCACATGGCCCCCTCCTCTCCGGGCCAGCCCTGCCCACCTGGCCCAGGCTTCTGTCTCCTCATTCAGGGCTGACCCCTCCTGTTGGGTGACATCAGGGGGCAGGACCAATGTGATATCTGGTGCTGTAAGGGCAACAGCTGGGCAGAGAGGAGGTGCAGGGTAGAGGCATGGCTGGTCCAAGAGGGAGCTCAGTGCAGATGCAGCCGTCTTACACACGGGACCCCCAGGCAGCAGAGGTGGAGGCCTCCCCTCTGGGGAATGGGTGCTGGGACTCGTCGGCACAGGGGTCACATCTAGGGACAGTTCAGAGTCACACCCACTGCACGGGAGCCTGAGGTGGGACCCTGCAGCCCAGCACCCGGCCACACTGACCTTGCAGCTGGAGGCTCTTCCAGTGCGGAGCCTGGGCGGCACAGGCACTCTGGATGGACTCCAGGGCACTGTGGGGCAAACAAAACAGTGGTGATGCCTGGCCTCACGCCCTAGCCCTGTCCACCCTCCCTCCCCTCATACCTCTGACACGGTACCATGGGCCCTGACAGGGGTGGAGCCGGGTCGCCCAGCAGCGTCCGCACTGTCATGCACACTGACTCCGCCAGTGACTCCAGGTGGTAGCCGCCCTGGGAGAAGGATGGAGACATGTTTGGGGCAGGGATGTCACTGGGGTGGGGTATCACTGGAAGGGCCCCTGCCTGGCTCTCTATCCTGGGCAGGACAACCCTCCCAAGTACCCCGCGGGCACCTGGCTCCCATGCTCCTGGCCCAGGAACCCTCCTTGTGTGCTCTCCCGTCACTCACCTCCAGCACGGCACAGACCCGGCCACCAGCCAGCACCTGCAGCAGCTGTGTGAGGTGGGCGAAGCACTCTGGTGTGGCCTGCATTTGCCCCTGGAACCAGAGCCATGTGTGATGAGGGGCCTGGACCCCAGGACCCTAGAAGCCCTCCCTGGCCAGGCCAGGTCCTCACCTCAGGGTCCCCGATGGCTGAGTCAAATCCTGCCGAGACCAGCACCAGCTCAGGATCAAACTACAGGCCAGACAGGTGGGGAGGGTCAAGAGAGAGGCTGAGCCCGGGTGAGGGTGAGCCAGGCCCATCCTGGCCCCTCCTGAGCACCCTCCCGGCCACACAGGAGTGGAGCAGCTCATAACCCTCCCCTCCTGCCTTCCCTGTGGCGCTCCAGGCACCAAGTTCCCCTCCCTCCCACCCAACTGCCCTGGAGGGGCCCATCGTGCAGTCACCTCAAAGGCCAGTGGGAGCAGCAGGTGCAGGAAGGCGGCCACGTAGTCAGCGTTTCCCATCCCGACCTGGCAGGACATCTCAGGCTACATCCTGAACTGTGGGGCAGGGGAGGGGTTTGGGGGGAGGGGGCCGGGGGGGCCGGGGGCTTGAGGGTGGGCACCTGGTTCCAGGGGAGGTTGACGGTGAAGCCGAGGCCCTGTCCCCGCCCCACCGCATCCGCATCCGACTCTCGCAGGAAAGGCCAGAAGCGCCCGTGCTCATAGCGGTGCCAGGAGAAGTAAAGGACGCTGCCAACAGCCGGCCACGGTCAGAGGTCAGAGGTCAGAGGTCAGGGCCCTCCACAGCTCTGCAGTCCCCACAGAACCCTGACCTCTAAGCACATGTCTGTATCTCACCCCTGGATTTTCCCAGGCCAGGCTGCACACCCCACAAATGGGGATGCACACTCCACACCCCTGCTCACCTGGGGTCATCCTCAAAGAGATACTGGATGCCTTGGCCATGGTGCACATCCCAGTCAACGATGAGGATTCTGGACACAGACAGCGCTGGTGGCTGAGGGGCAGGGCCTCCCACCTCCAGGAGCCCCACCAGGGATGGGAAGGTGTGGGGTGAGCTGTCTCGCTACCTGCACCGCCCCTTGCTGTGTGGTCTGGCCCACACCCCTGCAGCCAGCCTGGCCCACACCCCTGCAGCCAGCCTGGCACACACCCCTGCAGCCAGCCTGGCACACACCTGTGCAGCCCGTGTTTCTGCTTGGCATGTGCAGCGGCTATGGCCACATTGTTGAAGACGCAGAACCCGTTGGCAGCTGCCCTCTGGCTGTGGTGCCCAGGTGGCCTATTGCATGAGATTTGAGGCATGTCAGGGTCGCCCTGCCCCTCACAAGGCCACCCATGGAGGAGCAGCCGGGGTTACAGGCAGCTCTCACCTCACCAGGGCAAGCCCGTTTTGCACCACTCCCGTGAGCACAGCATCCACCAGCTGCAGTGCAGCCCCCACGGCCAGCCTCGCACAGTGAAAGGTACTCTGTGGGGGCAGGGGCACGGATGAGCCCCCTGCCTTCCCTGCTGCCCTTTGCAAGCCATGCCCACACTTGTGCCAGGCTGCAAGGCCTCAGCTGCTGAGCAGAACAGGCCAGTCCCAGGTGCTGGCAGTGCCAGCAGGCAGGTGTGCAGGGCATGGTCACATGCACAGAGCAGAGTACACTGGCTGGGGTTGGCAGCCATGGTTGTGAACACACAGAGGCAGGTGCCTGTGTGTCTGGACGGCTGAGTGTCCAAGGACACGCACCGGGTGGAAGTAGATGGCATCAAACTGTCCAGACAGCGCCTGCAGCTCCTCCTTGCCCAGGACCTGGGTCTCCCTGACCAGGGACACGTAGTCGGGGCTGTAGACAGGCAGGCAGGAGAGGCAGGGTCACCAGCAGGAGCAGGTGGCAGTGTGGGAGAGGGAGCGTGTGTGTGCTGGGATTGGTGGTGAGAGTGGCCACCCTGTTGCTTCCTCAAGCCCACCCGAGGTCCATGTGAAAAGGCTCTGTCCTCGAGGCTGGCAGGCTCGGGGCTGGCCCAGGTTCCTCTGTTTCTAGGTGAGCATTCCCCCAATCATGGGGCACGCCCCCGTCCAGACCTGTGCACCAGGCCCAGTTCCTCTTCGGAGGCCTCGCGGGCTGACAACCGCAGACACCTCTGTTCCAGGCCGCACTTCCGCAGGCGGTCCAGGGCTGCAGTCAGGCGCTCAGGACGCTCAATCTCGCACTCGGGGCTGGGGCAGATGGGGAGCTCAGTCCAGAGCTCCCTCCCCGCACCCCACCTCGGCCAGGTCCCACTTACTCGTCCCAGAGCAGCCGGGTGGCCGTCATGTCCTCGTGGTACACAAGCGCGGTCCCCATGGCTGCGCCGTGGTCACCCTGGGTCCCCAAAGGGCCTCGCTAGCGGTGCCTGGCACTGCCCGTCCCCACCTTCGGCCAGGATTAGCCAGAGGCCTGGGACCTGCTTGGGGCCCAGGCGGGCGGCAGGCGGCGGGCACCGGGCGGGGGGCACCGGCCTGGCGGGAGCGCACAGAACCCAGGAAGGCTCCGCGGTCCCAGGCGCGCAGGAGGCGCCGAGCAGGGCGGCGGTCGAAGCAGGAGGCTCCCCGCGCCCGGCTTCCGGCTTCCTCGCCTGGGACTCGGCTCCGCCCGGCGCGGTGCTCCGCGAGCTGCCGCGAGCCCCGCCCCGGAGTGAGGAACCAGCAGGCGCGGACACCTTGGCGCGCCGGGCCGCCCGCCCTCCGAGCTGCGCTGCGGCTCCGCCTCCCCCTCGGCTCCGCCCCGATCCCCCTAGAGGGGCGGGGTCCCCACCCGAGCCCACCCCTGCGAGCTCCCTTCTGACCCCGCTCCCGGGTCAGGGTCCAGCGCAGCCCCAAGGCCCACCCGGGCCAGGCGCGGGGAGAGTCGAGGTGAAGGGAAAGTGAGACTCGGGGTCCGCAGGACAAAAGCCACGGGGCGGGAGGAGCCGCTGGGGACGCAGGTGGCACTGCGGCCGGCTCAGGGCGGTGCATTGGGGCGCAGCGCCGCCCCCGAGGCTTAAGGAGGGAGTGAGAGTCCGGCCCAAGTTCAGAGTCAAGGTCAGGGTGGAGGCAGGGACGCTGGACTGGAGTTGTGGGGGGCGGAGGGAACGAGGACGGAGAGGGATCGAGGAAGGCTGGAGGCCTGGGACGGAGCAAGGTGTCTGCAGAGGAGACCTGAGCCCACCTGGAGCCCAGGCACCACCCTGCCCCCACCAGAGTTCGTGTCCAGCTGGGTTACAGTCTTGGGCCCCCAGTCCCATTCCTCAGGCCAGCTGTGGCAGGAAGTTGGGCCCAGCATAGGCAGCGGCCATGTCACAAATCAGCGTGGCTCCAGAGCCAATGGTCACGTGCCCCCGCCCCCATGCCTGGAAAGGCATGAGGGTCGCTGGATAAAGGCCTGAGTCTGTCGTGGCAGCTCAGTGGGCCCAATGTAGCTGCACCAGCTAGCTGTGGGCATGTCCACCAAGGAGGACGCCCAGCCTGCCCTGCCCCTCACTGGTCTCTCTCTGCTGTGACCCCTACCCTGGCACAAGTGTGGAGGCACCGGTGGCCCATGGTCCAGCCGCCAGCCACCCTTGGAAACACTGAATGGCCCACAGAGGGCAGCCTAGGCATAAAGATACCACAGGGGCATTGTAGTGGGTGGGGGCTAAAGGTTTGATCAAAAACAAAACCCAGCCCTCTGTGCTCACCACTCCACCACAGGGACCAGAGGGGTCTCAACATGTCCAGTGTGTCCCCTCCCTCCCCAGGAACCTGCTGGCCTTGGAGGGTGCAGAGAGCTAGGATGGATCCTACACTCCTCCCCATCAGGCCCTGCCCTGGGTCTGGCTTCGGATCCACACACAGTGGCTTAGACTCTAAGCCTTTAGAGGAAGGTCACCACCCCATAAGAGAGGAAGAGGCCAAGTCCTAATGTGGACTCACTCCTAAGGCTCACTGGCACAGGCCTAGGGAAGTGGGCACCAGCTTTGTGGCCTGGGGTAGATGGGACGCTCAGGCCCCCCTACTAGCTCTTAGGGTCTGAGCTCTCAGGCCAGTCTCCTCTATATGCAGGCCAAGGGCTTGGAGGCCTCAAAGTGGGACCCAGCATGAGGACACACAGCCAGAGCAGGGAGCTACAAAAGGGTCTATTTCCTTCCAGCCATGTGGGTGCCACACAGCTGAATGACATTCCAGGCTGGGGGTGCAGGAAGGTCCACTGATGCCCCCCAGGAGAGGGGATGTCCCTGAGTTGGTGCCCTGTGCCCACCCTCTGTCCTTCCTCTGCATGGCCCAGAGCAGGGCCTGACCTGAAGCCCCACCAGCTCCAAGGTTTCTGAGGGCAACTGGCAAGGGGGCCACTGCTCCAGGGTTCAGAGGCCATCCCAGATCAGGCAGAGGTCCTGTCCAGAAAGTTCAGGCACTTCTCCAGGATGGGCGCCCAACAGCAAAGGCACGGGCTTGGGGAGGAAGATCCATGGAACCTGGGGTCCACTCGGACGGATACCTTGGGATGCAAGCCCCAGCCAAGGTCAAGGTGGCAAGGGTCCCCTCTCAGGTGGAAGGTGAAGGTGGTCCTCACTGCCACCACCAGAGCCCAGAGGTCTTCACAGAGCCGTCTCCTTGGAGACCCTGGCCCCCAGCTGCCGGGGAGGCTTGAAGCTGAGCACTTCTTTGTAAGTGACACCTGGCAGGGGAGCGGGGAGTAACAGAAAGGAGGGTCAGCCTTTGCCTTTCATCCCAGGAGTCACTCACAGACACGCCCGGTGGTGCCTTGTGGGGCCTTTCTCTAGTCCTAACAGGTATGGGCCACTGAGGGAAGGTTTGTGTAAAGACGCCATTGCCCTAGATCCGGATGTCCAGGGATAAGGCGAGGTGGCCAGGGCTTGGCCACGTGTCCACTACAGTCTGTCCTAAGAGCAGAAGCCCGAGCCACAGCTGTGTGGGTGGGAACTACAGAGAGGGCCCTACAGCCCATGGTTTCAAGTCATCTTGTTTAGCAGCAGAAACCTTTCACCAAACAAACCCAATCTCAGAAGCAATCTTTTTTTTTTTTTTTTTTTTTTTTTGAGACAGAGCCTCACACCTCACACTGTCACCCAAGCTGGAGTGCTATGGCGCAATCTCCACCCATTGCAACCTCCGCCTCCTGGATTCAAGTAATTCTCCTGCCTCAGCCTCCCGAGTAGCTGGGACTACAGGTGCCTGCCACCATGTCCAGCTAATTTTTTGTATTTTTAGTAGAGACAGGGTTTCACTATGTTGGCCGGGCTGGTCTTGAACTTCAGACCTCATGATCCACCCGCCTCAGACTCCCAAAGTGCTGGGATTACAGGCATGAGCCACCGCTCCCAGCCCAAACTCATAAGCACATGACTAAGCACACACAGCTAAGGGTAGAGGCCCTACTGCAGGCATTCAGGGACCCATGACCCTAAGGAGCACAGGTAAAGAATCTCAGCCCATCTAGCCCAAGGCAGAGCCAGGACAGGGCCTGGAACACAGCACAGCTCCCAGTGCCCACCTGCTGTCCCTAGGCACACAGCCACAGGCTGGTCATGCAGCTATGAAGAAGACAGCACAGCCTGCCATCTTGGGGCAGAAATAAAGCCAGGTCCAGCACAGCCCCAGGCTACATCATAGCTGTGGGAGCTGGGGAGGCTTCCCTGAGTCCAGCCTGAGGCTGCACAGGCCTTGGCCAGTCCTCCAAGATGAGGGGATGGTCCCTGCTATCAGGAACGGTAGTGCCGAGCTATTGGCGTTGGGGTCTGGACTGCTCAGGGGGGCTGGGAAGGGACAGGCGAGGCCCTGAGGACTATCTTGTGTATACAGCTGTCCAGGTGGGAGGGATCCCAAAATGGGGCAAGGAGAGGCAACAACAAATTCCAGAGCTGTGAGCAGAGAGGCCATAGGGACGAGTGGACATGGCGGGGGTGTCAGGGTGGCCTGGGTCTCTGGCCTGGACATGGGGGAAGGGCAGGAGGTCTGGGGGCCAGGCAGGGCTAAGTGGGCCCTGGTGCCCTGACTCACAGCTGCCCCTTGCCATTCCCAGGCTCCTTCTGTGCCAGCCTCTGTGCCGAGTCTGCCAGGAACACCCTCCCTTCATCTTTCAGCTCCAACCCAAGGTCACTTCCACCAGGCCACACGGCCCCACGCTGCTCTCTGACCTCCCGTCCTCCTCACCTGATCTGCACCCCAGGGACAGGGATCCAGAACTCTGAGCCTGGCCACCTGCAGAGAGCCCACCAAGTCCACACAGGCCCTGCCCAGAGCCCCCCACTCACGCTTCCATTCATCCAGTGTGCGGTCCACATCGTCAAAGGAGTCATCATACTTCTGGGCCTGGGGCTCATCTTCTGTGTCATGGAGGGACTCAAAGTAGGGGTGAGCCAGCGCCTCAGCTGCCGTCACCCGCTGCTCCGCGTCCAGCACCAGCATCTTCTCCAGGAGGTTCACAGCTGTGGGGGAAGGTATGTCAGGCCAGACCTTAGGAGGCCCCACACTACAGCACCCTGTGGCCCCCACCCTAGCCAGCCCTACCCAGAGGGCTTGCATTGGTCAGGATGGAGGCAAAATCCTTCTTCTCCAACTCAGGGAGGCCCTTCATGTAGTTCTTGGCCTGTGTGGGAACAAAGGGTGAGGGGCCAGCACCGAGGCCTGAGTCTGCCCCCAGTTCCACCAAGCTCTCCACTGACCACTGACCTCATCACTCTGCAGCCGCTGCACAAACTCAGCTGGAGGCGTCCCTGTCACCTTCATGATCTCCTTCAGCTGGTCCAGGTCTGTACTGAGGTCAGGAGCACAGCTCGGATGCCAGAGATTGGGGCCTTCACCATCCCTACCTGGGCAGGAGCCATCCCCACCCCCCC